TAAATAGGCTATACCTAACTTACCAACACTCTTTGACAAAACAATTGTTGTACAGCAATAGCCTATACTTGTTTTATTCTAACACAACAGACAAGTAGGCTACAGGAGCATTCTCCTTTATCTCTTCTCATTGCCAAGGTATGTTCTCCTGTACTTGGAAGGACTATAGTTTTTTTTCATGCCTGGGCGAGACAGGCCCATACATACCTCTAATGTCTTGGCCTGCTGCCAGCGTTATCTAGGGCTGCTCTATTATGGCAAAAATCATAATCACTATTTGGACAATATTGAGATCATGAGTATTCCACATGAGTTAAAGGACTGATCCACATGCTTCAAAGCATCTACCGTTTCCATTGTAATTGACGTCCAAATCAGTAGCCCATTCAAATGCCTCGAGGGTTTTTTAGCCCATTACATAAGACATCATTATCCAACATTATTAAGCACACACGGAGCGGAGTCGAGGACAGACAGACCTGTGTCAGGTGAAAGCAACTTCTTACGCTACATTACGTGTGTGTGTGTGTGTGTGTGTATGTATGTGTGTGTGTGTGTGTGTGTGTATGTGTGTGTGTGTGTGTGTATGTATGTATATGTATATATATATATATATAAAAAATAGTGTATAGTAGCCTGTGCAGGCCGTGGCTGTGATTTATGGATTAAAATTTATAATAAAAATAAATAATATTAATATAGCTTGTTTTCATAATCCTTGGGAGACAATATCCTATTTGAAAATGATATTCATTTAAGCATAATCTGGGTTTTCATAGGCTACTCTTTCCAGTTCTTGTCCTCATGTTTGATGGTTTTGAGAAGCGTAGAGCTTTATTGAATGCCCCAGAGACTGTAGTTTCCAGCTGAAGACTGTGTGGATCTATGTGGATGTAAACATGGCACAGGATCAGATAACATGATTCCCTTTAAGTAGCCTACACTACTTGTTGAGTGATGGATACCACTACTGACACTGTCAATCTCAACAGAGCAGGTGATTTGTAGATCATTTTCCTAAAGATCTCAGACAGCCCTGTAAACTAACATCATGCTGTTCTATGTTCTTTCCTGTTGGGAGACTAAGGCTGTGTCCTTGCCTTGGTCATGTTCTGAGCATGTTTTACTGCCTCAGCCAGAGCTTTCTAACCGCTTCATGGCCTGTCTGTCTAATGTGGGACTGCGATGTATGAGCATAACATGGGGGGCTGGGTGAACATACTAAGAGACTGTGAGAAATCCATCGGTCTGTATGGATTCTGTATGCTGCAGTAGGCTACATCCGGCCCTGCTACATCTGGCACAGAATTGCACAAGTCTGTAATGGGATTTATTGATTTTAATTAGAGACTGAATTCCACTGGTAGGAGGTTGTAGCTGTTTTCACATTCCTGCTGCCCGCTCTCTGCCGCTGATTTCAAAGCGTGATCCATTTGACGGCATTGCCATGGCATCGTCATGGCGACCTCGGTGGCTCTCCTCGTCTTTTGTCAGTGTAACCCCCCTGTCCTCCCCTTTTGGACCCAATCCCATCCCTAACCCACACAAACACGAATGACCTTGCTCATCTTCCTCTCAGTGTGCACAGTGCCCTCAGTGGGCTTGGTTGAGTGAGCACAAGAGAGGTCTTGACCTAAAGGACAAAGGCTTGCTATTTCTATAGGAACTACTGTTTTTTTTTCTCTCTGTGTGTCTCACTTGCTCACTCTCTCTCACACATTGCTGATAAAGACCCTGTAATGTAGCTTAACCCGAGGGTCTAAGGACAGAGGATGTTGTATGCTGTACAGAGTGTAAAGCCCCATTAAGCAAATTATGGTTTGTGATATTGGGCTTTATACGTAGTGGACACTCCTCTCCACTCTCCATGATTCTTTGCGTCTTTTTCTGTCTCAATCCACGAGACCTCTGCTATCTGCAACTAAGCTGCTCTGTCTGTTTATATTCTCATGTTGTATGTTGGTGGCAACACAAGGTTAGCTTGGTCCACCACTTCATAGCTGCTGGTAGGGGGGTCATAAGTTCAGAAAAGGACTTGTGCAGGTGTGTTATTTAAATGGAAAGGCATACATGCAGTGTGCGTGTGTTGACACAGACTCAATATATAGTCCACTATATATTGACCTGTTTGTGGACTCTGTCAACGAATATCTATAAACTCAGTTTAGTTTATACTGAAAATAGATTTTTAATAGTCCCAAACATGTCTCATTTTACCATTATATAATAACTTGCCCGGGTTACTGGAGGGTTATCTAAACAGACACCATGGATGTTAGTCAAGCTGTAGCCAAGAAGCTTTTTTATTTTTCCCCTTGAAGCAGTATTATAATGAGACAGTGCTGAGTGAAGTGAGTGTATGAAACAGGATGTGTTCTAAAGGAAGAACTGAGGGCCAGGAGCTAGAGGAGGCAGAATGCTAAAGAGGTTTGCTTTATCCTAGCAGAGCTAACACTGCCTCCATTCAGAATTGCTAGTATATTGTAGAGAGTAGCTCTGTGAAGTGGTCCACCTCACATCCTTGGCTTCTTTTCATTTAGAGTAGTGTTTTTAATGGGTGGAAATATTCAGGGTCTTTACTATTAAATTAAGTTGAGTTCTTCAAGGCTGTGATTCTTGATTTTATTTATTTTTCTTTGCTTCTTGACCCTGGATTAATCCAAAAAATGCATGAAGAAAGTTCACTAAAATGCTGCCATGCCGTGCTGTCTTTCCCAATGACTCTGGCCCTAAAATATTTATAATCATATTCATCCATTTGCTATTAGGATTTCATATTTCCAAAATTCCCAACTTCCATGTGGCAGAATGTAATTACCAAGTTACCATCGGGTTTCCCTTTTAAATATGTTTGCAAAAGCTGAAGTGTGCTGAGATATTTACTTTCAGTGCAGGAACAGCTAGGCTGATGATGCCATAAGCAATCAAGGTAGCTCTAAACTGAGCGACAAACAAGTGATTTGTGTGTAACACTAACTCAGCATTTTGCCTCTTAACAACACAGAGTTGTATTAGCCAATGTGCTCCATAATTTTAAGAGGGCTCACTACTCATCCACAGCCACATCTATCCAACCGTGTTGTTGTGGACTTTGGGCCAGGTCTTTTTGTCTTACTGTTGTTGTTATTAAAAACTTTTTCAGTTAGTAGTTAGTTTCCATTATATCACTGATCTGCTTTTGGCCATGTTGCCAGCTAGTCACCAGCCCTGGATGTAGTAGGGACCTTCCCAAGTTTCTTCCATTATTTTCTTCCTACTTTCTTTCTTCATCTTGAAGGGTTAAATGCAAAGAAACATTAATTTTATCATTAACAGTCACATAACACATTGAATGACGTTTAAATTAATCTATTTTATTTGCCCTGTGCACTCAAGGCGAAATATCCAAAAAATCTATACTCTCAGTAGCTGCTTCAATGGCATACCTTTCATTTCTGTCATTAGATCTTATTAATAGACTCACAGGGAGCACTAAGGGTAAAACATTTTGAGCATGTAGTCAGTCTCTCTTCTCAAACAGCCTACCATACATTACACAGTACGGGACCAGTTAAGGTTAAACTAAAGGCGGTCATGTGTAAAGGTGTGTAGTAGTAGTAGTAGTAGTAGTAGTAGTAGTAGTAATAATAATGATAATATTAATAATAAACTTGGCAGAGAACAATCAGCAGCTGGTGTCCTATAGCTGTATAGCCACCCTGACCACCACTGCCCACCTCCCCCCCTCTTTGATGTTCTTAGCGGGGTCTGATGGAAACAGCTTACTTAAGATCGACCTAGTTTACATGCAGATGTATGACGATCTAATATGCAATATAAGGTCCATTCCCTCTGCCAGTCTTAAGCTTAGCCAACGAGACAAGCCCACTTCTTAGTGTACTTTTATGTGCATCGCAAAGCTCCTCCCAGTTCCCACTGTGCAATTCAGCATAATCTCACCCACCTACTCTACAAGCCAGTCTGTCATGTCTCTTCGCCCTCGCCCCAGACCTAGTCGCCTTGTCACAACAAAGCCTAAACCAGAGCAATGACCTACATCCCTCGACATGTCTCTGTGCCTCACACTCTGTCCCCTGTCTTTCTCTTTCTGCAGCAGTATGAGGTTTGTAAGGATACTGTGCTGTATTTGGAGTGAATAGCTCAGTGGAGAGGAGGGGCCAGTGTTGTGTCATTAGATACTCCGTGTCATTCCCTTACTGCCTGCTGACCCACTACAGCAACGTGCAGCACCTGTTGGTGTGAATGGCTACTTGTCGCATCAGCAATACTCATTAGGCCTAAATGTATTTAGCCATTGCTGTGTTAAATCATGTGCACTAAAATTGATAATGAAAATTGTGTACATTCATGGTGCCTAGAGGATGGATCCTAACCACTTTGGTGATCGCCTACCTTTTATTCATGAGCAAAACAAGACGAATCTTATTGATTGTGTAGATCCCTTTACTTTTCCTTTGATATCACGATGTTATTTGTGGTTTTCACTGAAATGTCTGAACAACTATTGGATGGCTTGCAGTGACATTTTGTACAGACGTTCACGTCCTCCTCGGGATGAATAAAGATCCCCTGAGTTTGCATTGTGTGGCATCATCATGTCAAGGTTTTCATCCGTCCGATACCTTAAACTTTGTCATAAACTTTGGTTTATGACCGAATACCTGCAAGCTGAATGACGTGTACTTTTTGTTTATCGCTATCTAGCAAATGTTAGCATGGTAACACGCTAAATTATGGAGTTGACCATGGTCAATTTTATGCATAATAAATATCAGCATGTTAGCATTGTCATTGTGAGCATGTTAGCAAGCACTGCTGTATCTAAGCCTGACAGAGCTGCTAGCATGGATGTAGACTTGTCTTATAAGTCTACATCCATGCTAGCAGCTCTGTCTTTCTTTTCATATCACCTCTTTGACCTCTTTGTCTTTTTCCCCTGTAACTCCCTTCTAACTCCAGTCTGATGTGTGAGAGTGCCAGCAGCCCGCTTCTCCACCGCAATGGTCGATATGGAGAGCCACTACCATCCCCCTTCGCCCCTGGAGGACTCTGTGATGGGCAGCCCCCTGTGCGCCGATGACGACTTCATAGGCAGCATGGAGGAGCTCCAGGACATTTCCCAGTCCATCAACAGCAGCGCCCTCAGCTCCTTTGATGTCCCCGAATATCAGTCCTCTAGTAATGGTTCTGAAGGTTCCACTGTTCTAGGTGAAGTCTCATTTTCATTTAATTAACAATATGAGAAGATAGCAATGTGGGGTTTGCTCCCAATCCCCAGTTTCCAAGTGTCCCCAGCAGCTCAGTGTAATTGCCTTGCCAGTGTTGTTGTTATTTTCAAGAGCAAAGGTCCTCTCAGTTTAGCCCACCAATTTATTATTTTAATTTTATCCAACTGAATGTTCAGAGAGGACATACTCACATACATAGAAATACTTGACTTAACCCACAACAAAGCTGCTCTACAATCCTTTAGCACCCCTTTCTTTACTCATATTGTCTGATTCACACACCTCTTTGGCCAATAATCCTTGATCTTAATTGGTTTGTCCTTTTCTCTGATTTACTGTGTAAATCAGTGAATTGTGAGAGCCTTGATGCATTTTCTTGCCCCATTTCCCATCAATTGCTTCCATGTGTCCTCCTTATTTCTTCTTTTTTCTTGCCTTATCTACTTATTTTCTGTATTTCCTTGTTTTACCTCTCTGTCCTCCTCTAGCCCTTCTCTTCACACCATATCCAATGAGGAATTTGCACATTCCTCAGCCACTATGCACCACCTCTTAGGAAACATTCATTTTGCTGCTGTGTTTCCTCCTGAATAAATGTCACATGGACATCTGGGAAATTTATGCTACTACCAAATTATGCAGCAAGTGAAGAATCAATGAATGGTTCAGGAAGAAGAAGAAGAGCGTTTAATGAAAGAATAGTGGATGTAAATGAAGGAGAAGGAAGGAAAGCAGAAAAGAGTGGAAGGAATAGGGATAAGGCATCTCAGAAAGAATTGATGATGTCATGGAAAAGTCAGTGAGAGGGTGCTTAGGATTTATTCATGTTTGGGAGTGCAGTAAGAGACAGGAGCAGAAGAAACACTGACATGCTTTTCTTGTCTACACTCCACTGAAATGTGTGCACTTGCACAAGCAGGAACACAGCTCCAGGTCCACTGCCAAATGCTGCTTATCCCCGTTCTGGCGTCTGTCGACCAACTCATGTGGCTTGATTTAGTGCCACTATTTTGCTATTTGTATACCAAGAAAGTTCTACCAACCATGTTCCCTTTACAAGGTGGAAAGAATCCATGACGAAGATCAGTAATACTACTCCAGTGCTGTGATGCTTGTGACAGGCAACAAACAGGGCAAAGAGGTCAAACTGCACTTCACCAGTTCTTTGCCGCAGGGAGATGAGACTCAAGATAATGGCTTAATTTGAATTGTTCAACTTGTATCCTATGTACTGCAGGCTATAACAAGGCATTATATGGTTTTATTTATTTATACCTTTGTGTAACTATTACATTGTCTGATGAATGAAATTCAACACAGCAAAACATTTACTAAGCTTCACCAGAAGTGGGAATTAAGGCGGGGGAATGTTTGGAATTAACTAGTTCATACAAAGTGTAGTCCATTCATATCTGAAGGCAAAAGAGTTTATAGCTGTTCTGTTATCATAGAGAGGGGCGAGACTTGATGAATTGTACAAATGAGGAAAAGAGGGTACGCTTTCAGACAGTCTCTCCTCAAAGGTGTCAACACTTGGTGTCAACACTATGAACACCAAACTAGTTCAGAAAGTCTGTTCTCCATTGAATCTGCCTGGTGCACAGAAGTGGATCATTTAAAAGAAAAGGCTGGCAATATTTTAAATTGATTAAATGAGTAAATAGTGCATATCACTGTGGCTTATTTTGTTTGTGTTTTTAATAGTTTTTGAACATTAGTGTCTATGGAACAGTGGAATACGCTTTATCAGGCTTTGGCTACACAGAAGATATTTGTTAGTAGGATCAATTAATTACTGGTTTTGGTCTTTTCATGGTATTTGTAGACCAAGATGTATGTGTATTAGTCTGGGGAAATGTTTAATCACCCACGTTCTTGGGTTTTGTAGATGCCCTAACACCAGCATCCAGCCCGTCGTCAGTTGTTTATGGTGTGGCAGCAGGCCAAGACGACTTCTCATCTTCCTCCTCATTGCTCAGCCTGGAGTGTCGAGTTTGTGCTGACCGCGCCTCGGGCTATCACTATGGAGTCCACGCCTGCGAGGGCTGCAAGGTGAGACAATGTTAGATGCTGGTGAAGACTAGACCAATGTAAGAATTAGTGACTGAGCAGGTGAGTCTCATTAATGGCCATATAGTTGTTGGAGGACATTATTCTGAAGGATTGAATCTGTGGCCAAATTATCACACATGCCTCTGCCTTAGGTGGTCTTATTTTCTCACACTGCACTGTAGTTTACTTACTGCTGTGTACTCTCCCTATTTTGGTCGATATCCATCAATCACCTCATCTCACAGTCACCCAGTCTCAAGTAGAGACAAGCCAAGAATCACAAACAGCCTTCTGACTACACGTTTAATCAACCTCAAGACAAATCCTATATTTGGAAGTAAAACACTGAAGAAAGGAGGACCTAAATCCAGAGGCAGTGTCTTGTGACTAATGATAACTCCTAAAAGCATCAGACATACCAGGCTCTGCTTTCACACGTGGTCGCTCAATAATCTTTCAGTTAATTGTTTACTCGTCATGTTGAAGAACAACCCAAGGCTGTTCTTTAAGAGGCACTGAAGGACAAAGATAGTTTAACTCGAGGTGTGTGTGCATGTGTTTTTGAGCCTGTATTGGTATGCCAGTATTCTGTATTCTTTTTTTATTTGTTTTTTTTCTTTTCTATTAATCGCTGAAGGGAAAAAAATGAAGGGAAAGCAGCTACTGAAGCAAGATACTTTTCTACACTTCTACACTGTGAATCCAGTGGGAGTATGTATGTCAGGAAGTAATATATAAACTCAGTAACTCCATCATGTCAACATGATGTTGCAAAGAAATTTACATCGGAGCAGCAGCTCACTTAAGTGTGAGTCTGTGCAGTGATAGAAGGATTATGTCTCTGTGTTAATGCTAATAGTGTATATGTGTGATTGTCAGTCCATGCATCAATATAGAGGTATCAACACTAGTAGGTCCACAGGGCAGAGTCAAAGTTGTGATCTGCGCAGGGTGAAATTGTAGGGCTGTAAAACTGGAAAAAACAAACATAACCTAGGTAGACCTTGAACTTTTATGATAACCTGTGTTTTTGTTTGTTTTTTTGTGACTATCACTAGTGACCTGTGAAGTGCCTCATGGTAATGGTGAAGGCCGTACTTGCAACATTAGCTGGACCAACTGAACTCAGCATTTCTTGATCAAATCTGTCATAATGGACCAGAAAGTCTTGTCACATTTGAAAGGCTACTCCAAATTAGGTCAGAGTTGTAGCAACTTTCTCTTTTTTTTTTTTTTTTTTTTAATTTAAAGCTTTACTCAAAGGTTGATTGTAGTGAGGCGACAGCAAATGAGGGGAGACAGAGGGGGACAACATAGGACGCCCACTGGGAATTGAACCACGGAAGTTTCAATCACAGTTAATGGTATGCATCTTAAAATCTAGGCCACTACAACACCCCGAAGCACCCTTCTTTTGCCAGGATTTTGCGAATACCCCTTCCCTCCGAGTCCTTTCCAGCACTTAGTATCCCATGATCTGCTGTGTGCCTGTAAGTCAGTGGTTGGCAATAGGCGGCCCGCGGGCCAGAATCGGCCTGCCAGCAATAATATCGTGGCCAAATTGCTTTGATAGCAGAAAAATAAATAAATTGAAAGCAGCCGGTGCTGAAATAGTTCTCAGTCATGACAGCTACAGTTACTCACATAATCACTTCCTCTTAAGTAATTGTGCCTCCAAAAAGTGCAAGAACATTTTTTGCAGCAATAGGCTACTTTGTCAAGTTTATTTAGAGCTTTTACTTTGAAAAGTTCTGAAGGACACTCAAAAATGTCTCTGGCTTGCTTGACACAACTCAAAAAATATCCATAGGTTGAGCGGTCATAGGTTTGGATAGATCATACAACCCTCCCAATGTTAGTCCTGCTCACTGCCAACTGAGCTAAATGTAGAATGTGAGCATTCAGGGATTTGTATGTTCCGGCCCGCTATGTAATGGCTTGAAAAACGTTTGCCCCGACGCCAGGCTTATTTGCTGGACCCCTGCTGTAAATATTTGTGATGTAGCGTTCAGGTGGTTGTCTGCAACTCCTTAAGTTGAAAAATATAACAAAAATGTCACATGACAATGTGACCCATGACCCCACTGTACTTAATACGAGGAGACAGTAATACGAGGAGGCTGACCTCTGTGATGCCACTTCACTAATCCTTTACGACAGTGGACACAAGCAGCGTAGACATGAATTCCATTTGACCTTTACTTCTGTCCAGGCGACATGTCAGCTTTGTTGTGTGGGTGTCTGTATGTATTTTGGCACACTAGGTGACAGTTTTGTATAAAACTGCAATTTGCTATTAAATATGGCTAAAGATGTTATTAAGCAATTCCCCAAGCCATTTTCTACCCTCCAACCAACCGCAAACATGCCACTTGCTACATCTGTTACATCGGTAGATCTGTTCCTCGACAAAGTGTTCTTTTTGTCAAGGTTGTGCAAGTGAGGATAAACTGATGGTGAAACTAGGTATCTGATTCGTCAGGCACCATTAATATGGGAATAAATAACTGCCTATGTAATAGCTTCTTTCTTCGTTGGATTTTTATTTTTATTTTTTTTTTGTGGATCCTGAAGCTGGTTTCATAACATCAGTGTTTATTAAAAGGTAATTTACTAGTGTATGTTACATTTCAGGTGTCATTTACTTGTGTATTATTCTTTATATTTATTTCACGTGTTGCCTGAATAAAGTGGTCTGTGTTGTTCAAACAAATTAAAATAATTAATTATATCAAATATAATTGAATGTTTTCTTCATATGAGTTATTCTCCTCATTCCTCCAGGGTTTTTTCCGACGGACCATCCGTCTGAAGCTGGAGTATGACAAATGTGAGCGTCGCTGCAAGATCCAAAAGAAAAACCGCAACAAGTGCCAACACTGCCGCTTCCAGAAGTGCCTGTCGGTGGGCATGTCCCACAATGGTGAGTCCTACAGAACATGGCTTCAAGCCAAGGGCACACACACACACACACACACACACCCCTATGCATGGTTCTATGAATGGTTCTTGAGTAGAGTACTGTCATGGAAATTGTATATTTCTGGTGAGGGATTAAGAAAATAATTAAGTTACAACAAACTGTTGTCTTTGAAGAATTTATTAATAAGGTCCAGAAAACTGCCGCCTAAGGCAGCTTTGGGCGTCTGCCCCGAGTAAAGGGATGCATAATCATTTACACAGTCTATGTTTCTATGTTTTGGGGAACAAAGATCTTCTCCCATCCTTTAATGCACATTCAAGCAGAGGAGAGGAACAGCAACAAAGAAGAACACCCAAAACAATCTCATAGCTCTGACCTAAACCCTAGTAAATGTGGACAGACTAACATAAGGAAAATAGAAGACTGAAAGGTGAAGGATAAAAAACACAAAACATATATATCTATAAGACATAACAATAATAGTTATAATAATAGTAAAAGAATATGCATAAAAGATTAAATGTAAGAGGACACAATTTTCAATTTTCAAAATTGTATATTTCTGGTGAGGGATTAAGCAAACAATTGAGTTACAACAAACTGTTGTCTTTGAAGAATTTATTAATAAAAGAGAATAAACAGAGGAGTACTATAACACATATACAGCTGGTCCAGAAAACTGCCGCCTAGGGCAGCTTTGGGCGTCTGGCCCAGAGCAAAGGGATGCATAATCAATTACACAGTTTAGGTTTCTTCTAGATTCTGGTGACTGTTGTTTACTCTGTGTAAACATACAACATGGCATGCTGACATGTCCTGATTAGAAAAAAGCACTGGAATAGATTTTGGACGTGTGTGTGTGCAGGGGTGCAGGTGCTTGTTTTTCTGGTCTGTCAGTGTACTTTTATTCGAAGGATCGAAAAGGTCAATGCAATCTGTGGGTTTACATAAAGACTGTGCACACTTTGCAGATATTACATATTGGTGGCAGAGGCTGGACTGATTGTCTTTATTTTGTCCCATGGGGTCCTTAATACCTAGCACAGATTTTCATGATTATATGGTAGTGCCTTAAAGCTCAGCACTAGTAGTATTTCTGTCAGCTGCACTTCCTCTTACGGTATATGTGTATTGAGTTTCATGGGCCTAAATGTAACTATAGAGAGGAAGGAAGGAGGTCTGGAGTCCACAGTACTGCTAATTTTGGAGCTTTGTCCCTCTGTTTGTATCGACCGCCAATTGATTTCACAATTATATCTGAAAACACTGGATGCTCCTTACTATAACGGTTCAACAGTTTTAACTTCTTGAAACTCACTAGTGAAAGTAAAAGGTACATTTTACCAGGCGTCTGTAAAACATACCGATGTGGCATGTTCAGTTTGGCTACAGCTCTGTGACATGGGCTAGAGGCTCAGGTTGCAGCCTAATAGTGTTAAGGTTGTGTATTGTGTTTGCTGCTACAGAGGGAAAAAAGTTCCTGCTTACAGTATGAACAACACCAAAATCTCTAGCTAACATTCTTCATCAGCAAACCAGTCCACACCAGTCATTATCAAATCAGGATCTACTGCAGATTCCAGTTAAACAGAATGTGAAGAATACTGACTTTACAAGATTAAACACTACACCGCATATACCTTTTTGGATTTCTCGAACGTAATAAAATATTTTCCATGCTTCCTGGAGATGGTGCAACTTTTCATTCAACAGCATCCAATCCCTTGCATCAAGTGTCAATAAGTTAAGTTCAGTGATGAGCTGTGGTCTGATTTATTTACTCTAATTAGGCCTATATAAATGTCTTAATAATATTGCAATACTTGTTGATACGGCACCTTAATGATATAAGTTAAAGGTAAGAGAAATATAACAATCTTCGGCATAACTACACTGAGGTTACATACTGATGTAGAGAAACAGAAGCAAATTTATAGTAAATATCAAGCTATTGACCAGATAGCCAATATGAAATGCCTCAGAAAAAATGGTCAGGAGATCTCTACATTTAATTGTTATAATGCGCTGAAAATGTGATTTGAAAGCCTTAAATATATTAATTAATTTAAGCATTAAAATTTGGAGTAAAAGTATTGCCAAAGTCCTTTATAGGTCCCACCACTCGGCAGTCATATTGGTAACACCTCCGGGTGGTTATTTCGGACTAACAAGACCAAGCCGCTGTGTGAATGAATAGGGAGAGAGCCGTAACTGCACTTTCTTGTCTGTCTCCAGGATAGTACAAATGGGGCGATAATATAATCTTACCACAAAATAACCAACCTGAAGCTAGTGCCGACTGTTACGTCCCAAGGTCTCCTGAACGCAACATAAGCAAGGCCAGACACAAAAGAAATACAATTTAGCAGTTTTTATTATCTTTGGAGATGAGCAGTGCCCAAAACAACAACCAAAACCCTCTAGGACACGTAAAACTTCCCTAAAACAAAAAGTAAAGAAAAGGCTTCTATTATCAAAAATAGGAGGAAAAAAGGTGCAAACAAAAAGGGCTTCTCACTCCTACTAACTGCAAGAAAATTTAAACAGAGCAAACAAAAATGGCTAATGCCAACAAAATTAGGTTGTCATAGACAATAATCTGAAAATCAAAGTTAAGCTACTCACAAAGTCTAATATGTTCGCTACACAGGTTCTCTACTTACAATGAAAATAGAAAATACACACAGTACATAGGCTCAGGTTGGGAATGGCAGAGAGAGAGAGTGAGTACCTGTCAGAATGGCTGTTGTCATCCAGATGGCCAATCAGGAGGCAGCTGCAGGACCAATCCAGGCTATTCTCCATTACCTGCATACACTCACACACACTCTAAGGGAGGATAACAGCTGACAGTGCAGTGTAAGAGATACACAAATTACAAAATATGACCCTAGGGTCATAACACGTTCCTTCATCCTCAGCAGGATGTACCACGAGACAAAAAAACTAAACCTCTGAGGTGTTTTTAGTGGGTTTAGACCATAGACTGTATATAAAAAGGTTTAGACTGCATGGCTCTGATAAACCTGTTGTAGGTGCATAACACAACACAATATAATGTATTTGTCCAAATAGGTAATGTAATATCTTTTTTCAGCTAGGTTACTACTAGGGCTGAACGATTTGGGGGGAAAAATCTAATTGTGATTTTTCTGCCAGATATTGCGATTACGATTCGATTTACGATTGTTTTGGTTTGTTTATTGAAGTTTTGCTAAAGTTCAGTATTCACTGCCAGTCTGTTTTTGACGGAAGCTGCGTCAAGCAGCACAGAGCAGATCAACCAGGCAGGAAGTCAGACACTGAACGGGATAGAGAATCCGGTCAATTTTCAAAATAAAACACCCGTTGCAGACTCCCAATCGTACATCAAAAATAAAAGTTAAACAGACAAAAGAGACAAACAATTTAACCACGTAGCCTACTTAACCATAGAAGCACCAAAATCAAGGACAACTGAACAAATAAGCAAAATCTGAACAAGTCAGCAAAATCATACAGGCAAAACGCTCTTATTCTGAAATGCTCCATGTTAATATGTAACGTTAGCCTGCAGAGAGCGGAACAGAACGGGCTCACAAAGAGCTGTTATCTCTAGTTGAAGCACACAAAATGACAAGTTAACAACGTGTAGGCTAAACACTCCGCTGAAACACTTCAGTGTGAGTTGACGCCAGACAAAACCGCGGCACAGCTGCTGCCCGTGTCAGTTCAGCTGGCGCCATTATCCCACGTTTTCCTCTAGTTTCGTTTGTTGTAAAACGTACACGCCCTCTGCCTGCTCTGATTGGTGAGTAGCAGGGCCGTTAACGGCCTTAACAGGAGGCGCATGGAGCTTGTGATTGGCAAGCAGATCTGTCTAACAAGGATGACACGGGATGACAGGGGTGGTGATGGGGCAATGGATAAGACACCTTCTTTTGGTGTGAGAGATCCGGGTTCAATCCCCAACTGTGACCCAGCCACCATAATTTACCTACATTTTAATCGCCGTCTTCATAATTAACTGATCTCATTCTTCAAATCGCAATTTCGATGTGAAAACAATTAATTGTTCAGCCCAAACTTATATGTATCAATAAACATCCAGACATCAACAACATCCTTTATTTGACTTTAGTTTTATTTTGTATATGTGAAATTTACCCATTAAAATGATCTGCTTTACAATGAAGCACAGTGAGTTATGATGTTTTACAGTGAGTTTGTTATATTACATTTATCATAGGTGGATGCTTTGTTTAATTTATTTTGACAAAAAATCCTATATATCCGTCCTAAACTTAGTTGACAAGGGGAAATCATGACAAAAATGCATAACAGAGTCTCAGTATAACAAAATGTACATTTGTATATTTATTTGAATTTAGTAAGATTTTTGTGGGATATTTTATGCCTTTGTTCTAAAGTGGACAGCAGAGAGGTGAATTTTTTTTTTTTTTACACAAATGTGTATGTACAATTTTCAAATGTGAAATTTAAAATGGCATATCCATGGGTTAGGTGAATCAGAGTTGTCTTATTGTGAATTCCACAAAAAGTTTACCTTAGTAAACAAGTGACTGAAAGTTTCTTAACTTTCTTAACTTAACTTACTAATAGCTCAGATCTCATGACCTTAGAAGATGCACTGTAAAAAACACATAATTTAATGTTTTGGTCGTTGGCAATAATTCTTACTGTTGGCAAGGAGGCGTTTAGTGGCTGAAATCTTCTTCTACAAATCACCTGTTGAAACAGATGATTTAATGGAATGACAGGCTGTCCCCCTCCCACTTTTAGCCCCACTCGAGTCAGACTCATCCGCTCACACCGGCTCTTAGGAAATAGACTTACGCTCAGCTTAACATCACTCACTTCCTCTCATCTTAATTAGACTTGGCTCTTGCCCAGGCGACCTGCTCTGGAGCTTTACCAGCTTCAGATGATCCATCCACTTTGTGAGAAGCAATCTAATGGGACCTCATGCTGTCTGATATCTCCATATCTCATCCTTGCTCGCTCCTGCTGAGTTGGCCTGGATTTGTTTTAACAGTGGTTTGTTCAGTGGAAAACTGGGAAATCAGATTTCCTTTTATGCTTTATAGTCCTTTAAATGCAGGCGGTATGTGCAGCTGGATGTCGGGCTCTAAGAGAGCAGTGTGTTTGTGTGTGCATCATCTCATGCCCATCGAAATTGGCGAGGACGGGTTTAAAACCGTTCACCTCTAATCTCATTACTCAAATGGGATCAGGCCGTCTGAGACATCCCAGCATCCTCTCGTAGAAAAACAACTCTTGTATGGTGTTGAAGCACACTTCACACAACTGATGCCCACATCTAACACACCTTGTAATATGTAGTAACTTGTTGTGTTCATCCATAAATTTCTATTGCTATTGCATTAACTTTTTTTTAAATGCTACCAAAGCATAAAGACAAAATGTATGTGCCTTTGGGGTTTGTAGTTGAGAATTTAAGCAGGTTAAAAAGTTCAAGCATGTTTGTGGATGCCAATTAATAATATATATCAGTGTTATTCTGATTAACACAGTCGTTGTGTAATGACAATGGAAGTTTATTAACTTATAATATTATTAGCAGCTTTTAATAATTTTGCAGCTTGTACCTGAATCTCTGCTGTTCGGAGTTGGGTTCTCCTGTTCTTGTTCTTACTTTCATCAAATAGATTTTAGCATCACTGTTTACAGACCCATTCAAAGGAAACTAATTGGACCATACCACCTTCAATACTGCAGCTTCATGAAATTCCTTGCCAATGTTTCGCTAGTCGAGAAACAGCAGATTACACTCAACAACATGTAAATACCAGTGATTCATCTATCCGAAGCTGCTGCTGTGCTATGTATCAAACTTAATTATGATTGAAAGGTACTAAGCGCCACACTGAGATCATCGCAGCATTTTACAGGATCTGATATTTATCATTTATTGATCATACAGCCTGCCAAATGTTATACAAAAACAAGCCATAAACATGAACACTCAGGGGTCACTTTCAGGGGTCTTACCTTTAAACAAGGCGATTATTGGCACCAGATGTCAGGAAAACAGCGAGCACAGTAAAATCCTGAATAGCCTGAGAATGCTTTCTGTGTTTTCAGTGGAGCTATTTCATTGTCACTGCTCTACAAGCTTTGTTTGGACAGATTTAAAATGTTTTGGATAGATTTAATGTTCTTTTCTGTACTGGTATGTTGACTTGGATTCATTTTGCTTAGTGGGGTATCTTTGTAGATTTTAAAAATGATTACAACAGATGTCAGCATCTTGAATAAGTGGTTTGTGTGGTTTTTTGGAGCTCAAGCTATTTTAGAACTGGGTTTCTTTTAGGGGCGGCACGGTGGTCCGGCGGATAGCGCTGTCACCTCAAAGCAAGAAGGTCGCGGGTTCAAAGGCTGTGAGGCCTTTCTGTGCGGAGTTTGCATGTTCTCCCCGTGTCTGCGTGGGTTCTCTCCGGGTGCTCCAGCCTAGGTTGATTGGTGACCCTAAATTGTCCTTAGGTGTGAGTGTGACTGGTTGTTTGTCTATGTGTGGCCCTGCGATGGATTGGCGACCTGTCCAGGGTGTACCCCGACTTTCGCCCGATGTCAGCTGGGATTGGCTCCAGACCCCCGCGACACAGGATAAGCGGTTGACGATGGATGGATTGATGGATGGATAGGTTTCTTTTAAAGCACTTTGTTTCCTCTCTTTGTCCTGATATAGTAGTTTTCTCTGTGAATGGGTTGTTTTTTGTAATATTAATATTTAATTTAATATTTACATAAACATTTTGCATTTTCTGTAATATCTGTTGCACTATACATTTAAACTGCGACTTGACATGGAATAAATTCTGTAATCTTGGTCTGACTTTCTTTGTCTGCTTTGCTCTCTACAGCCATCCGTTTTGGCCGGATGCCCCAGTCAGAGAAGCTAAAGCTGAAGGCGGAGATGGTAACGGGAGACAGGGAGGTGGTAAACCCCCAGCTTGCCGACCAGAAGACACTTGCCAGGCAGATATACGAGGCCTACCTCAAGAACTTCAACATGAACAAGGCCAAGGCTCGAACCATTCTAACCGGCAAGACCTGTACCCCTGTACGTTCATTTAAAGTAGTGGGTTGGTGAGTGAAAGACTTTGTGTGTGTGTGTGTGTGTGTGTGTGTGTGTGTGTGTGTGTGTGTGTGTGTGTGTGTGTGTGTGTGTGTGTGTGTGTGTGTGTGTGTGTATTTCTTGTTCATGGCTCTTCTCATTACCAGTATTTCCCCACAGGTCATGGTCATGTTGTCTTGCAACTTCTAATTTATTTCTTCCCCATTGGAGTAATATTAACCTCAATCTGAGCACATTCAAAATTTGCAATCAAACTAATGTCTCAACATGATCTGGCAGCCAGTACTTCAGAGGTTATGTGCTGCCACCACTGACAGAAATAACTTGCTCAATCAGTAATGCAACACACAAGCTGGACAAGGAAACATCTGTTTGCACCGAAATGATATAAAGAGCCAGTGTATGAGTCCATCATTTCTCCCTCTACCGCCTGTTTTCCCCTCCATGCCTGTATTCTTTTTATCACCCATCCCCAATCTCACAAAAACATTCCCTCGCAGGCTCGTTTTTTATCAAAAAAGGTGGTGGCCAAGCAGAGGGTCAGGGACACGCAGTAGTGTGGACGGGGGCCTAAGGTTTGCGAATTAAAATGGAGACCTTTTGCTATGCTGTTTTAGGTCGGCGGCAAAAACGAAGACCTAAAACAGAGAAGTTTAGAAACGCTGCCAACCCCACCTTTTGCGTTTCAAAACTCCGGTGGGCGTTTTAGTGAAGACAGGCTTCAGAAACAATGACGCAGCCACTCACGCTGGGCTCTCTGATTGAAGTCATGCAAAGCAGAAACAGGATGCTACTGACCGGGTTTTTGACATGGTATTTTTATAAAAATATTATGTACTGTGCAAGTAACACTTATGTGCCTACACTTGTACTGTGCATGTCGCTGTATTTACTTTGCAACGACTCCCAGTCTGTTTTTCGCCGCCACACTCCTGTGTTACATTCAGTAACAGTCCCAGCTCCTTATTGGTGTATGCAAAAAAAAAAACAAAAAAACTTCTTCGTCTGTATTTATTTTTTCTTTTGCCAAAACTCCTGTAACTAGTAAGAGACCATCTGCTTCATGTTTACACTGGCACGCGCATGCCCAGTGTACCTGAACGGCCAATAAATGTGCATTTCCAGTCTATTTAATGTAGACAGAGATCAACTACAAAATGCAGCTAAAACGCTGGTGTGGACGGAGATCATATTTGTTTTAATTCTCCGTTTGTAAACTAAAACGGAGTAGTGTGGATGGTGCCTTAGAGTCCAGAGGGAGTCTCTGGGGTTTGCAGCCACTGGAAAGCGGTCTGTTGGAAGGGCACATATTGTGTGATCCACTCTTGATTTTAGAGTTCAATCATGATGTTGCAGCACTTTTACACTTACTACTTCCCATGAAAATCATATTGTACCATTTGCCATAGCCCAGCTTACAAATGCTGACACATTGCATAACTTTGATTTTTTGTGAAGAGCATTGCATGAAAGAACGCCCTTCTAATTTTGTTGCAGCTTGCATTATTTTAAGACTAATTTAAATGAATATTCTGGAGAAATAATGATTTGAAATGCTTAATATACTGTTGCAAGGGCAATGCTGATTGAGAATGCATTCAGCTTATTGTTCAAAAACACTGAAAAATCAAATGGTTAATTACCCCTGTAGAAAAATTGGATCAAATTTTTGAATCCAGGTAATACATGTAACTGAGTCAGTAAATTTCTGTCAGGTGTGACTCATTAGTGTCAACGTCTGGGAGGAATACTGAGCCCTAATTCTGTCACTGTTGGCTCTGCTTTGTATACAGCTCGGTTTTATCATCCGACCTAACTGGTTTTGCTGCAGTATGATTTATCTTAACAGTACATACAGTCTTCATTGGAAGTCCCTAAAAAAGGATATGCAGTTAAAGAATCGTCAAGCTGTTGCTGCTGCTCTGGGCTGCACTGTACGCTGGGTATGGAAATACGCATTTATTGGGAAATTTAAGAGTGAGATTTCCTTTTAGAATTCATAACTATCATCACTAGGATTGTAACTAATGATTATTTTCAATATTTATTCTGTCAATAGCAAATCCTCCAATTGAGTTATATGAGCAAGTTCAGCATGGCAAATCAAAACTGAGGAGGGCTATACATTCTTATTTTTAGTCATGCTAGAAGCGTGGCTCTCGGGATGACAGTGTTGGTCTGTTGATCCACCACTTTGGTCGAGACTAAAATATCTCAACAATTATATGATGGATAGCTTTGACATGTTGTACAGAGATTCAGGAGATGAAGCCTACTTTAGTGAGATCATGACTTTTCATCTAGAGCCATCATTAGACACATTTTAATATGTCTAATATTTTATGACCAAATACCTACAAAACTAAATACATTCCTATCAGCAACAGCTGCCCTTAGCAAATACTAGCATGCTAACATGTTACACAAAGACAGTAACCATGGTAAACATATCTGCTAAAGCCTGTATACCTATTAGCATTGTCATTGTGAGCATGTTAGCAAAAACTCAAAGCATCATTATGACTAAGTGGCCATTAGCATGGCTGTAGACTCTTCCATCCATCATCAACCGCTTATCCTGCGTACAGGGTCACGGGGGCTGGAGCCAATCCCAGCTGACATCGGGCAAAAGGCGGGGTACACCCTGGACAGGTCGCCAATCCTAGACATAGACAACCAGTCACACCTATGGGCAATTTAGGGTCAGCAATCAACCTATGCCGCATGTCTTTGGATGGTGGGAGGAAGCCGGAGCACCCGGAAAGAACCCACACAGACTCCACACAGAACCCACACAAACTCCACACAGAAAGGCCGGGGCAACCGGGGTTTGAATCCGCAACCTTCTTGCTCTGAGGCCACCATGCCGCCCACTGTAGACTCTTGTCCTGTTATTGTTTTAATTACCTGTAGCTCTCTTGAAAGCTTGTCACAGTGCTGTAGTCTTGACTACGCTTTTTCATCAGACTGTTTCTGGACTAAGACTAAATGTATCCACTTTGTTTTCTGAAGTTTGTTGTAGCAGTTACTATCAGTGTAGCGCCCCTGGCTCTGCTTTCAGTATAAATTGTATTAATATTTATAGAAAAAAATGTCTGACAAACCTGAGCATCCATAAGGGTGTAGCTGCATGATTTTGACTTATTTTTTCCTGCATAATATCATAGCATCAATTCAGGCAGTGAGTCCAAAAAGATGCAAAGTATATCCATTAGAAAAACAAAACATTTACTTAATACAACATGCATGCACACAAAGTGTCAGCAGTTTTGGTGCGACATTGTTTCACATCATTCTGAAACTGGGATTAATATTAATATTTTAGATTGTAGCATTATACAATTTGACATACACCTTGTTCAGAAATCTACTTTTTTTCTTATATCAACATCATAACATCAGTTACAAGTTATCTGATAATTACATGTTGCTGACGTGGAAGTAGCACAAAATTAAACAACTCTGTGTCATGTCCTGCATATCTTCCCCTGCTGCTCAAGCCCACATTTAGCTCAGCACTTGTGAGTCAGAGCTCTGATATCATGTGCAGCAGCAGGTGTAGCTGCTCATCAGATGTTGTTACTTGTCAACTGTGGGAAAAGTGACACAGCTAAAAACACCTATTTGCTAGAATCAATCAATGCTGCTTACCTTTGCATACTTGTGTACTTCTAGCGACAGTAGCCTATTGGTAGCTTATTGTCAGATGGGCCTAAGTTTCAAATGGATTTCTTTCTTAGTTTTGACATTTTGAGTTTGTCCTGGTGTAAGCCCTCTTTGCTCTGACACTGCTTTACTTTTAACATGAACTGTGCTTATATTTCTAGAGAAATTAATTTTACCTCAAACCTCTGTTGATTGTTACAATTGACATCCATAATTATATGGAGGTAAGGTCAAGGAGAGTAATCAAGTCATTGTGGAAACATTCAAGCGCCATTAAGGGCTCTAGACTTAGTCTCTCCATTCAGTAAACACCACAGTCACTAGTTTGTCAGTTCGTCATAAAGGGAGGTTTGCTAATTCACAGTGTTCCATGTTTATGCAGTCAGGTTTATTTATGTAAACCTAAATCATTGTACACAATGTACTAACTGCACTGCATTTCAATTGGAAACCCATTTTTTACCGTACTTTACATACATTGCTCATAAGAGTTTGTCTTTCTCCACTCTCCACAGCCTTTCGTCATCCATGACATGGAGACCCTCCAGCTGGCAGAGCAGACACTGGTGGCAAAGATGGTCGGCTCAGCAGGAGCGTTGAAGGACAGGGAGGCAGAAGTTCGGATTTTCCACTGCTGCCAGTGCACGTCGGTAGAAACAGTCACTGAGCTCACAGAGTTTGCAAAGTCCGTCCCTGGGTTCTCAAGCCTGGACCTAAACGATCAGGTGACTCTTTTGAAATATGGCGTGTACGAAGCCCTCTTCGCCATGCTTGCCTCCAGTATGAACAAAGATGGGCTTCTTGTAGCGTACGGCTCAGGCTTCATCACCCGGGAATTCCTCAAGAGCTTGCGGCGGCCATTCAGTGATATGATGGAGCCAAAGTTCCAGTTTGCAATGAAGTTTAATGGGCTGGAGCTAGATGACAGTGACCTGTCTCTGTTTGTGGCTGCTATCATCTGCTGTGGAGGTGAGGCTGCAGGAAAAATAACAATGTTTATGATAGAACTATTATTATATACTATTTTGCTGAATTAAATGTAATATCTTGTTTCTCTTTTTGGTCTTTGAGAACTTTGCTCCTTAAAGACTTTTGCTCTATCTCAAAACAAATGCTTCCACATCACACAAATTATAGAAATTGTTAAGGAACTCTGGTACTACTGTTCTACGAAATATTTTATTCCAACTGGAGATTATGGTTAAGGCATCTCACTCAAGTTTATTTTGCTTCCTCTGTGATTAGACCGACCAGGACTGGTGAATGTGGCGCACATTGAGGGAATGCAGGAGAGTATTGTGCAAGTACTACAGCTCCATCTGCTGGCTAATCACCCCGACGACAGTTTCCTCTTCCCCAAGCTGCTGCAGAAACTGGCTGACCTGCGGCAGCTAGTCACTGAGCATGCACAGCTGGTGCAGGAGATCAAAAAGACAGAGGACACCTCACTGCACCCACTCCTGCAGGAGATCTACAGAGACATGTACTGAGGGTTATGGAGGAATAACCAGGAGAGGCACTCTGCAAACCTATTTTTCAGGGACAGAAGAATCCTCCTATAAGCTAGGTCAAACCACTTAAACCCCGCTAATGCAGCAAGAGTTTGCTTTGGCTTCTGGTCAGCACAACAGGTCCACTTTAGGCCCTGGCAAGGGGCTGCTGATCCTCTTGGTTTGACACAGTGCTCTCCGCTCCATTGTGTGGACCTTCATAGGCAGAAAAGTGATGTATGCAAAGATGTGATCTGCATTTGATTGAGCCCCTACCTAGTAGTAGTGTATGCAATCTCTGACCAAACTCTTGGATAAAAACACTAAATGCTGATTTGAAGTCTGTGCTGTGACCTCCATGGTTATTTTTATCCAGACCCTAACAAGCCCTAAAATGAGGAAGGAAAGTGAACTTTATAGTCGCCACTCCAGCAGTATGTTTGAAAGTTTTTTTATTCTGATGTCAAAGAGCAAAGAGCCATATATCTTCACAGCTAACAACACTCATATTACTTCAGTGGCAGCAGCAACATTGAGACAAATAAGATACAGTTTTCATGCAAGGCAGCTTCTGCCAAACTGGCTGTCAATAAATGGTGGTGATGGTTGGAGACACAACTGTGATGCCACCAGGATACTGAACATAATCATTTATTTGTACTGTAAGTCTCCTAAGCCATACTTTGTTTATAATGGAAATCATCAATGACTTTTAATACGCCTTTCTCTTCCTAACAAGACAACATCAAGACTTTTATGGATTGTCATTATGCATCACTCAACCACAAACTGTAACAATAAAATGTAAAAATAACTGCAATAGTATTTCTAGGCTTAAGAAAAAGGAAGCAAAATTTTATGGTGTTTAAGAAAATCTGAATTTTTTAAGACACACATCATAATCATCATAATCACAGGCACATATTCACTGTGTACATACAATACAAAGCACATCTCAAGCACGGACATGCCTGTGATATGTTAATATGACACTATTTTGTACTGGATCTAAATGCCTTTTTCACAAAACACATGCTCAGATTTGGCACTCCATCCTGTTTTGTGTCCTGGTACTCAAGGGCTAACACCAAGATAAACCGCATTACAACCTTAATACAGACAGACTTAAAGTGGATTGGCTAGAAATGAATTCATCTGTTTCTTTATTTCTCACTCAGTGAAGCCTTGTTCCTAAAAATTACTTTTTTCCCCTCTTTCGATTGGTCATTTTGTGTCTCTTCTCTTTCTCTCATCAGTCTGTTTTGCCTTCTGTTGTATTTCACTGGCTGTGTTTAGTTCTCATGATGCATGCAGTTGATTAAGATTCAGGGGTCTAATGTGCACATTATTTATACAATGGTAAAAGAAAAGCATTGTTCTTTTTTTTTTTTTTCCATAGAAAATCATAATGGTATTGCCTCATAACCAATACATTTTCATCATAAGAAAATTTTCATTTTGGGTGAAATGGTTCTGTTTGGCTCTTGTAGTTTCTCTAAAATTCTTGGCAAACTGTCAAAATCAAGAGACAATAGCAAACACAAGCATGTGGCTGTCGGCACTTATTTCTTACTGCACTTATTTGATGAGTAAGATACAGACATTTTTAACAGTTAGTCAAGTGTCTGGTGATGGATGAAGACCAAATACATTTCCACATGGTATCCTTTACATGCTTTGTCATTTAACTATGATGATAATGGTGCATGTGCACTCCTTTATTTTGGTGTATTACTGCCTATAGTATAAAATGAACTATCCATGAAATGAACCTACATGGAAGGCCTACCACCTGCCCCACATATCTGCTTCTCCAACCACAATCTCCTAAAAATGTCATGAATGAATTGAATTGAATTACTGACTTCAGTCACAAGAAATGGACCTTGTGTTTATAATTACATCACATTGTATAAACAGAGTGTACTGTACATAGCTGTAATGATCACATTGACCACTTGACCACAACGACCCAATATTGACCCAACTTTGAACTCATGAGGTATACAAGGTACTAATGATGGTCAACTTTTGTATTCCTCTGTTGGTAAATTTTTTTTAAATGTTTGAAATTTTACAGTAAATGTAGTTATGTACTGTATGTTCTTTTTGCTTAAATGCCACATACTTGTGTTATAATTGAATTGGATATTTTTATACTAAAGTATGTGTGAATGACTAAATTGAAAAATTGTGTATCTGAAATGAAAAGATTGAATACTGTAGTGTAAATAGACTTAAGGGTAACAGGCAACTGGTAATCTGAATATCCATATATCTGAATCATGTTGGGGTCATTCCTTTTGTTAATTGCTATTTTTAGATACAGAACCATCAATGCTGCAGAATGCATTCAGTTCAACTGAACTGTATTTCCTTATCTGTTAAATTATGCTATTATGATTTAAACTGAAAGCACTCGTGGGCTGTGCAGGGCTGTACTAGCTCACAACTCTGGGTAGTTGATTAACACTTGACCTTTTGGATACAGTGAAAACTACATATATCATTTGAAAGCTACAGGTCAGCACTGATCAATACTGGTGTACTCTTTTTATACTCTGTTCTCAGGTTGCAAATGGGTAATATATGCACAGACTTTCATCAGAAATCATCTATATTTGCCTCCTCTTGCTTAACAAACCATCCTGTATTTTTGACACATCACGGCTCTGTTGATTAAAAAAAGAAACTGAATGCAGTCATAATTTGCCATCACATCACATGTTATTAAAGTAAAGAAGATGCAGTAATGAAAATGCAGTGCATATTGTTTTATAATCCTGTTTCTGTCACTCTCCTCACACGCTGCTAATTTGTACTAACTCACCAAACATTTCTTTTGCCATAAATAGATTACTGACCTTCAAGCTGCCTTTACTTACTTATTATATCTTCTCACAGAATGTCAGTCCCACATGCAGAATTAATTTAATGCAGCTTGGTTCTTCCCTTTGCAGGTGTGCTTTAGGATTAACCACAAATAATCTGTGCCTTAGCATGTGCCCATGCCATAAAACACTAGATTGAGAAAAACACTTGACTTGTACGCACACACAGTTGTAAACCATTTGTGCCATCAGCCAGAATTGGTGGTTTGTGACACAATAGGGCCACACAGACAGGAAATGACATCACAGCAGATTTAGAAAATTATTCTATGTACAGCAAGAGAGAGGCTCAAAAAGTGCTATCGAGGCTTCATTTTACTGTACAGAACAGTAACAATGAATGATTTGCTTTACAAACGACAGACATTTAAACACTAAACACAAAATGGTTGGAACACTAGAGCCAGGCCCTAGAATAGTCATGTAAATAAGTGATGTCAGCTTATCCTTAGGAATGTCTTATTTATGTTGAATTGACAAGGGACATTTTAACTTGTATCAGGGAAACCTAGTCTTCCTTTGTTGAACTAGCTCAGGACAAAGAAAGATATTGTTCCTCTCTATCTCAATCTCTTTGAATGAGTTTATAGTACTCTGCCTTACAGCACACAAACACCAACAATATCTATTAATATGACCTTGTATTTTTATTTTCCAAAACTAACAGAAAAATGTTACCAGAGGGCAGCAGTCATAAGAATTAAGTATATGATTTTTTTCTTCTTCTTTTGTTTGTTTTTGTTGCTATAGTGTCGTGCAAAGAGACAACAGAGACTGTCTTTGGATGTGTTGATAATGTGTACTGTGGCTTGGTAACAATACTGTATATGTTTGATGAATGTATATCTAGTCATTTAAACAATGGAACAAGTTGAAATTGAATGGATTTCAAAATAAAATGAATTAAAAATCCACATTTTACATTTTGTTTGTTTGAATTTTAATGACAACTACAATTAACATAACAAAATTTTATTATTGAAGACATTCACCCTCTTTTTACCTAAGATAGGTTTCCACAGTTAAGATGTGTCTTTGCTAGATTAAAATGTCCACAGACAAAAATACATCTCGAAACATGTAGTACAATACCTAATTATCTTTGGCTGTCATGTAAACTGGACCTCTTGCAGGTTCGCCATCTATTGGTCTACAGTCAAACCTACAACTAAGGTGTATGGCCTTGGAACTATTAAGGTACATACTGTACTGCGTTTTACTTGTATACAGTACCGATTTTTATAGTAAACACATTAGGTCTACATGCAAAGTAATGATTCCACAGTTTTAAGAAAAAAGTATACAGTATTGTCTGGCATTGATGGTTTGCATAAGTAAGAACTTTGTAAGGCAGAGTAAGACCCGAAACAGACCTGCACTGAAAGACCATATTTATTTCAACAATAAAACATTTTAATATTGTCTTTATTGGATCAATAAACAAAACACCTTAATATTAATACATTTGTGGTATGCAGTGAAACAGTGTAACTTATCTAAGATACATAGAAATCATGATAAATATTAAATAAATATTTTAATATTAAATTATACTCGTTATGGAAGTTATGTGACAGTATTAACATCGATGCAGGGGTTTTGTGTGCAGTAAATCTGACTGGAATACTGCGTGTCTGAAATAATGCTGGTCTTAAAACTAGATTTTCACACAAGGGCCCTCTAAAACGCACAGCCTAAAGATAAAGTGTTTAAGCAGGACCCATTTAACCTGGTGCACCAAGTGAAATGTGTGTATGTGTGGACATTTTATGTTTAAGAATATGCATCACTAAATTACCATAATCAGCTAAAAACACTGTCTTGTGTAGGTGCACTAAGGGCCTAAAAACTATTATTTTTTTAATACCTTTAATTAAATTGGTTGCAAATTCCTATATAAAGCAGTTTAAATCATTTATTTAAAATGTAACAGTATCTAATTCACAGAAAAATGGTGCCGGTCGTGCAGGGTGTCAATAAGGATCTATGGATACTTTTTGCTCCACGGCCCCCAAGTGCATGACACACTTACTGTTAGCCTAATGCTCCTGGAGGTCTGAGGACAGTTGCCACACACCACTGTGCTTGGTTTGTAACCCCCCTTCCTTTTTCATTGTGCACCACAACACCTAGGTGCAACAAACCGCGCTTTTCTTTTCTTAGAACCAGTGCACTAGAGGGCGCTCTGCTCCTGACAAACTATGCCTGATTCTCAACTCCTCCTCCTCGTTCTTATCACATTGTCCAATATGGCTGCGTCCATGGCAAGAATCTGTCGTTATGTATCGCAGCATGGATCCTGTATTTGGCCTAGGCGAACGAGTTTTTGCCTCACACACAGGTCTACGTTTCACAGTTCTTCAACTAGACATAACGGACTGCTCTTTTCTCTAAGTAAACGAGGTATTTTAAAGGAATCTTTCCCTGAAGACGCAGCGCAGGACCAGCTCCCCCGGTTGCTCCAGTCCGGTGCTCAGACTGTATACTGCGGCTTTGACCCCACGGCCGATAGCCTCCATGTGGGCAACTTGCTCGCTATCATCGGCCTGTTGCACTTCCGAAACGCCGGGCACCACGTCCTAGCTGTGCTCGGAGGGGCCACGGCACAAATCGGAGACCCGAGTGGGAAAACGAGCGAGAGGGAGCGGTTGTCAACGGACGCCGTGGAGGCGAGCACCCGCTGCATCCGCGAGAGCCTCCAGAGGATTTTCACCAACCACGAAATGCATTTTCACGACAGTTCCAAGAAGCTGGGCACCGTGACTATACTGAACAACCTGAGCTGGTACAAGGACTGGGGCGTGGTGGAGTTTCTGTCGGAGGCCGGAAGGCACTTCAGGATGGGCACCATGCTCAGCCGCCACAGCGTGCAGTCCAGGCTGAAGAGCGCAGACGGTATGAGCCTGACAGAGTTCACCTACCAGGTGTTCCAAGCTTATGACTTCTACCACCTGAACCAAATATACGGCTGCAAGATTCAGCTCGGGGGCACCGACCAGCTGGGCAATTTGATGTCTGGCCATGAGTTCATTCACAAGTAAATGACCATCCTACTTGAAACTCGTACGGCAGGTTAAATCGGCAGTATATCTTGTAATGCGTGGTTAGAGAGCATAGTTCCAAACGTCGCTGAAAATTCATTTGGGTTAATATGTCCATTGAGCCTTGGTGATTACACACACCAAAAATGTGACTAAGCGTCTTCTGTTAGTTGTCACGAGCCAGTGCCTAATTCTGCATACTTTACACACTATACATTTCAACAATTTCAAACATTGGCACACTTTAGATTGATTTATGCTCTGTTGACACCTGTCAAATTCGTAGGCCTTCGTGTCTAACTAAAAATCGTGTCTAACTAAAAATCAAGAATGTCACCTAAATCTTAGTGTAGTTATCAAACTGGAGGCGTTCTGCTGTTAATCAGCAAACGCTTGGGATTAACTGATACTGCTAGATTCAGCTTGGAGGCACTGATCAACTGGGCAATTTGATGCCTGGGTATGAGTTCATTCTTACTAGATATATGTCCTCTGTGAATATATATATAATCTTTATATCTATCACTATATTAATCAGAATGTTTTTACGTGGCAGATGTATATAAATCAATTTGTTAAATAGTTAAATTGATGTTTAATACAGTGAATGTGTTCCTCTATGCCGATCACACATGTAAAACAACATCTCCAGGATCTCATTTTGTAATACTGTAATTGTAATTTATTAATTTATTTAAAACTAGAGCTGCAAAGGTTAATCAATTAGTTGTCAACTATTAAATTAATCGCCAACTGTTTTGATAATCGATTAATTGGTTTGAGTAATTTTTTAAGAATTCTTTCTAGCTTCTTAAATGTGAATATTGTCCGGTTTCTTTACTGCTCTATGACAGTAAGCTGAATATCTTCGGGTTGTGGACCAAACAAGACATTTCAGGACATCCTCTTGGGCTATGAGAAACTGACATTTTCCACTATTTACTGACATTAAACAGACTGATTAATCAAGAAAATAATCAACAGAATTGTCAACTATGAAGATAATCTTTAGCTGCATCACTATCCCAGTGATTGCACTGAAACTTTAAATTGTTTTCCCCGCCTTCAAATTAAGCAGGCTAAAAGGCACCAGCAATTCATCGATGTGGACCATTCCTCTCACAGGTTTTGAAATACTTACTCCAGACATGCAGCACTTGGTTAATAAATCCTTATTCCTCTGCAGAGTAAGTGGTGAGGAGGTGTATGGCCTGACCATCCCGCTGGTGACCAGCTCTGTTGGGGACAAGCTGGGGAAGACTGCAGGCAATGCAGTGTGGCTCAACAGAGACAAGACATCTCCCTTTGAACTCTACCAGTTCTTTCTCAGGCAGCCTGACTCCAGCGTGGAAGGGTAGGTGAAGCCAGATGAAAGATTTTTGTTACAAAGATAAGATTACCATGCAAGATCTGAAAACACCTGAGGTAGAATCTAACATACTGTAAATGTAGGTATTCTGTGAACTGTAACAGGAAACTGACGTATATAGTGTTGCCTTTTTGCAGATACCTGAAGCTGTTTACCTTCCTGCCTCTGGCAGAGGTAGAGAGGCTGATGGAGCAGCAGAGAGAAGATCCAGGTAAACGCCTTGCACATAAGCGACTGGCCGCAGAGGTGACGAAACTGGTTCATGGAAAGGAGGGCCTTGAGAGTGCAAAGAGGTCAGCACAAGCTGTGTTTGTACTCAATGTGGTGTTTAATACTCTTTTATTTAATTTTTTTTTTTCTTGGTCATTTCTTACACTTTTTTACATGTTGTTTATTTAGGTCACCCTATTAGAGACAGCAGGAATTCATTCAGTTAGAAAATAAATAAGTGTAATTGAGGAAAACACCAACTCCTTAACTCACTGTTCTGTAGCGGCCCAATCCCCATGACCTCTGACCTTCTTGCAGAGAGGACAACTTAACTTTTCAGAGAAGAAAAGTCATGTTTAACATTATCACTGCAGATGTACCAACGCGCTGTACCACAGCAGTGTGCAGGCCTTGGAGGAAATGAGTGACGAGGAGCTTCAAGAGCTCTTCAGGGAGGCTCCCTTCCATGAGCTGCTGTTGGAGCCAGGAACTACTGTGATAGATGCCTGTCGCAGGGTCAACGCCATCCCAGAGGGACCCAAAGGGTAGGTTTTCCAGTCCTGTTTTCCTTAAATCTAATAGAGCTGCGAAGTGGGAGGAGTCATTTCAGGCGCCCCTTGTTCTGGAAGACAAATTCCCATTGATCTTTCCCATAGACGGTGTTACATGATTCACAGTTGGAGCTTTTAGGTCATTAATGATGTTATCGGGGTGTAAAGAGAATTTCAACACACATAGCAGAAAATGCTTCTGAAATAAATTGCCTAACCTAGCTTTAAGGTAAATGAGTCGACATGTCTGGAAACAAATGTTGCTGTTGAAATACCTTTTACATGCATTGCATTGGAGCGGCAGCACAGTACATTTATATGTAATTCAATGTTTGTTTGTTTTTCAGTTTAGGTGATCAGACTATTTAGTACATAACCAAATCCTGTCTCATATTTTAAGTGCATATTTTTGTAGAGCCGCAACTAATGATTATTCTCATTATTTAATACCTTTTTTAAGTTATTTAAAATGTAGTCACTTTTCTTTAGATGAGTGGTTTAATCTATAAAATATCAGAATATTGATCATTTTTAAAAGTCCTTCACAAAGTTCCAAGAGCCTATAATGATGTCTTCAAATTGATTGTTTTGTTCAACCAAAAGTCCAAACTATGTCCAGTTTTCAATGATATAAAACAGAGTAGTGCAGCAATTACAGAGATGAGCAGCTAGAACAAGAATGTTTGGCATCTTTCCATGATAAAGAGCTCAAATGATTAATCGATAAAATGATTGGCAGGTAGTCTTGAC